CTTATTAATGTCAGTGGCTTTCTGACAGAAATAAGCACAGCTGGCAGGACTTCAGTGGTTAGATAACAGAGCAGAAACATTGTGTTTAATCTGCTTGTGATTCTTTCTCTTCCTTGTGATGACATTCAGACAAATAGACACAGAACCCCACAGTGAAGCAAATTCGAATAGGCAAAACATTTTGCTGAATGTAAGATCTTAAACTGTCATAAGTAATTTTCCTCTCATTTTCAGATTTGTGAAGCCATCAGAAAGGTTTTGTGGTCTCATTTTACGTCATTGGAGAATTGTTAAAATTTGTAGAAGTTATGCTCTGCCTTGCTTTTTAAGTTGCATCAAGACAGTTAAAATAAAAAATAAATCCCCAAAGTAGCATGAGAGGGGGTAATGTGTTAAACTGTGCAAGAGCAACAAAGATTGTTGTCTGGGTTAGTTTCTGTATACCAGAGAAATTACCAAGGAATTAGGTTACTCAGTCATAAATTTTCAGAGTTGCAGAAATGGAAGCTGTAATGAGAGTGTCTGGTACAGAAAATGAATCATTTCTCCAGTTTATTACTCAGTTCCTAGAGCTGAGGAACCAACTCAGGTTGCCCTGTGAGTCCATCAGTGGAAGACTCTGTGTGATCATGTTTTTGTATCTTGTTGCAGTAGAGAACATCCCCTGTTTTGCTAATTCTTTTATCACAGCTGCAAAATTTAGTTTGATACATATACATTTCAATAGAAATGAAAACTTTTGATCCTGCTTAAAATGTAGCATTTAACAGTTATTTGCACACTGACCTTGTGTGTTCAGGGATTTTGTCATTTACATGGCATTATAACTGTCACATATGTGTTGGGGTTTGTTGTGGGATTTTAGTGGTATTAAGGTCAGATATTCAAATACAGCCTTAGGAAAAACATAGTTGTCTTGTCTGTGCCTATTTATCTAAATAAATCAGGATGTCATTCCTCAAATTATTTATAGAAATCTCCAAATTTTTGAGTATGTGGAATATCTACATTATAGGACTTCGTTTAAAGCCATTGCATGGGTTACAAAAATATGAAGGAAAATGTTTCTCACTTGAGACAGACAGACATATTTGAATTAATAGACTTAGAAAAAAGTGACTCATTTAATGGTATTCTTTACTGCAAACAATATATTGATTACAATTCAGAACATATTGTATCTCTCACTTACAGACTTTTCTGATCTTGTTTCTGCCTGTTTTTCTTTAATGGACAATAGCTGATGACTTCTGAGTGAACTGTGGTATAATTCTCAAATGTTTGAGCTGTGAAAATTTTAAATGTATAACTTGATTTTTATTTTCAGACTCCTGTTGTTTGTAGCTGAAATTTTTCACTGGTATTTGAAATGTTGGCTTTCTTTATTATGTAATTTTTTCATATCTGACAAACTTCATAAAATGTCATAAATTTTTTTTTCTGAATTGCTGCAAAGACTTTTTGTATAGAAGGGTTTAAGGCTTTAAGGGTTGGTTATTTTTTTTCTTTTTTTTTTTCTTTTTTTTTTAAATTTTTTTAAGGATGACTTAATTGGAAAGCTGTATGGCAACTGTCTGAAATTTCAGGCAATGTTTTATATTCAAATTCTCTGACCCAAATCCATGCCTCTGCTCTGTTGTGGATGACTAGCTGTTATTAATTTGTGTTACCCAGATTCTTTCATAAATCAGAACGAAATTTGGTTGTAATATATTCTTTTGTAGCATGGCAATATGTAGTAATGTGTAATAAATAGGAAAAGATCATTAGATTCTAAAAATCAGAAGAATTTGAAGCACTTTTAGAGAAATGAAAATGTTTATTTATGCTGTTTGCAGAAAATAAAATTAACTGCCATTGCCCATCCTTCTTGTCATACAATCTATTATGAATTAAGATGTGATGGGCAATGTGCCAGCCACATCAAGTGTTTTCCTGTGTATCAATTAAGATCTCTTTCCCGCCCCCCCCCCCCCCCCCCCCCCCCCCAGTTTTCCAGGTGTCTAGATGGCTTTAATAGTGGAACATTTACAATTTCAGATGAGGACTCTCACTACATTATGCATATGCTGAATTAGCCCACTTTTGTGCATCTTGAATATTTTTTAAAATGTAATGAACTGAAGGGGATATATTAAACCAAGGGTGAAGCTATTAACTAGTCCCTTCTATTTATTGATGGAAGGTTTAAAGATTGCTAGAGCATGAATCTAGCTTGGAGGCTTTTTGATCTTTTTTGTTTGGTTTGTTTCCATCATTTATTTTCCAAGGAAGAAAACTAGGGCATCAATTCCTTTTAGAAACAGAACATTGTTACTGGATTTATAAACATTATGTGTGCTGTACATTTTCATTGGTTTCTTCAGGAACTCAGAAATCTGTGATTATTTAGGTGACTGAAGCAAAGGGCTTTTAAAATTCATAGAATAGAATATGAACCCCCAGTAGTTTGTTGTAGAAGATTGTGTTTACTGACTGTTCTTACAGTAACACCCTCTAATATTGTCACATGAAAATATGGATTGTCTAGTTTCCCCATTTCCAGTGTTTTAAAAAATTGGTTTAATTTGTACAGTGTTGCTAGTAAAATCTGTTTTTATATTTGATTGTACCTGAGTCATCTAATAGCTGTTATTTCCCAGTCCTATTTAATTTGCTGTAGATTAGTTTAAAACTATATGCAACTTAAATGTCACATCTGTGTTTATAATTTTTCCTGCTACCTTTGTAATGAAATGTCCCCATGCAATTTTCTCAACATTTTGATGGTCTCTCATAGTCACAAAACTTTCCAGACACTCACAAGATTTTAAGTTATAAAGCAGTAAATTGAAATATGACTGCATAAGTGTAGACCTTTTTTTTTTTGTTCCGTCACAGGGAGAGTGACAGTTTTCCTTTTGCATTTTTCATACTTTGATAGGACTGTTCCTTTTGAGGAAGGTGTTCTCTGTGTTGTCTCCAGGATGCCCATACTTGTAATTGGGTACAACACAAAAAAATGTCAGTGAATGAAACCACTATCAACAGTAAAAAAGTTGATTTTTAAATGTCTTGAGGCTGGAAGGAAACCTGTTGCGTTTAGGTTACATGGGAAAAGGTAACAATGTAGGGTGCAAAGCATAAGGTTTCATGAGCACAAACTGAGCAGACAAATTGTGTTAACATCCTTTGACAGAGGCTGTTTAAAAATAGGAAAACAAATTATGGAAGCACCACGTGCAGACAAGGCAGATATATCTCCAGGCAAGGAGGGGAGTATGGAAGAGTACAGGACTAAAATTTATAGAAGATAGAAGGTGGAGACAGATAGGAGTAGAGGAAGCAGGTGGCTTACACAGTAGCATTTGAAACAGAGGTAACCACATCTAGGAAAAGGAAATCTGTAGGGAAGTTAACATTTCCATTGTGTCTGGAAGAGAATCTGGGAGGAGAGGAAGTCCCTATGGCAAGCAAGGTTATGTCTGCAGGAGCCTCAGCAATGCATCTCTCTGTCAGGGTGACAGAGAGACTGACGGTGTTTTTTATTTAGTTTTCTGTTTGTTGAGTGATGGAGACCAAAAAACAAGCAACTGTATCTATGTGAGAGTTACTTATTAATTGTAAAGATAGGAGAACAAAAATTTAGTTCACTGATTGTATTATTTTCTAACTCTTCAATCTTGAAGCATGTCTCATTTTTCCTGTGGGAAGCAGTAGATCTACCAGACAGTGGCTGTGCCTGGGCCATTGCTTCCTCTGCTCTTGAGAGTATGATCTCCAACAGGTCATGGTGCTGGTTTTGGCTCAGATACTTTTGTGCAAAATGAAGATGCTAGTAATACCCAGCCTTGTAAAGTACCATGAGATATATAGATGCTGTCCCTTCAGTTTTGCTTGCCATGCCTTTACAGTTTAAATTGCCTCTTAAATTCTTAAAAAAAAAAAAGTTTGAAAAAGATATTAGCATTTTCAGAGAATGAAACTACTGAAACTACTCAGGGAGTAGTTTGGAGAAAAACAATTAAGTATTATTTTTATATAAAGTGATTTCACATCCTGTGTAATTTCTATTCAGTAGACATTAAAGAGCTAAATTCAAATTATTTCATGTCAGCAAAGGGTAGAGACTCCTGGTCTGCAGCAGAGACATCTCAGTGCAGGATCAGGGTGGACACATAGAGGGAAAAAAATGCACAGACTTGACACTGCTGTGTAGTGAAACATCTTTGTCTGTTTGGAGTGGACTGTTTTAGGAAAACAGCTTTAGTCCCATGCTAATATTGACACAAATAACATTTCAGAAAAAAACCAACATGAGCCTTAACATTAGCTGGATCAAAAGAAATGTGAAAACTCATGCAGGATCATATTAGGAATCACACAAAGGAGAATAGACCCACTCTCCTGAGGTTGAAGAAAACAGAAAGAAAGAATGAGATTGTTAGCTAAGTATCATACGTAACAGTAAGATTTGATAAGGCCATATTTACCCAGTAACAACACAAATATAAAAACCTCTCAGTTGTTTGGGCATTTGTTCTTTGTACTGTAGCTCTGACTTAATGGAGAGAATTAGGGACCAGATCTCTCTTGCTGTGGGCACTGTGTAAAGTTCTAGTAGAATGCTCACATTCAGATCTCCTTTCAAATTTGGGGGATAAAAAACCACAGAGTGTTTTGAAATTCTTTATCTAAATGAGTATCTGTTATGCCATTATAGCATCTATGAAACTATGATTGCTAGTAGTATATCAAGTCTCATAAATTTGTGGTCATTACAGCAGCATGAGTTTTCCTAAGGTAAGAGTAGTAATATTTTCTTAACCAATCTGTGAATGTGCAGGGAGTGTAATGATCATTACTCTCTTGAGTCTTAGAGTAGATAAGAAGTTAAATTCTTTTCCTTGTCTAAATAACAACAAATTTAATATGTCATTTTCCTTGACACTTTGCATGGATTTGTAGACAGAAAATTTACAATACTCAACATAATTTATAATTTCTTTATCTTTTTACAGAGGGAAACCAAAGGTCAGTTTCTTATAGATCACATCTGCAACTATTACAGCTTGCTGGAAAAAGACTATTTTGGCATTCGATATGTTGACCCTGAGAAGCAGAGGGTATGTATATAATCTCTGACTAAATTTGCTTTAAAGTTAATTGATTTTTTTTTTTAAATAAGCCTGTAGGTTCTGATGCAAATTTGTATATCTCTGAGGATTTGTACTCAGGCTGTAATCCGTAGAGGTTCCTAAAGTGGCATTATTAAATTAATTTTGCCCTCATTTATTACTATTATTATTATTATTATTATTATTATTATCATCATTATTATTATTATTAATAATAATAATAATAATTTTTAATTATTGTTATTTATTTATTGTTATTTATTATTATTAATTCTGATTTGTGTCGTTCTGGGCACCTAAACTGGAAAAGAATCTATAGGTATGACTCAGAGTCAGCACAGAGCAGCTCTAGGCTCTGACAGTGCACTGGAATTTGGGACTTACAGTTTTCTCTTAGTGAATGATTTTTGGGAGATGTAAGAAGAAACCCTATTATGTTTATCATGTAAAAGCTGTCATTCTGTTTCACCCATCACAGGATGCATGGACTTAAAATCTGTAATACCGAAAAAGATGTGATTTGTTAAGCTTTAGGGGATTCTTCAGGTTGGTCCTCCCTGTAAGCATCTTTGCATTTCTGCAATAAAATTGTCAGGCACACATTTTTGTACACATTTTTATGTACAGTAATTAGACGTCTTTCCTAGGTGTTAGGTGGTTCTGCAGGTTGTAATTTATAGGTGATTTGTCTGCTGCTACCCCCACATGGCTTTTATTGTATGAGAGTTGGAGCAGGTGGTGAACACAGAAAGCAGAAGTCCTCAGACACTGAAATTCAGAACTGCTTCTTCACCATGTTGTCCTGCTGGTCTCAGTACTAAGACTTAGATATGTGACTTTAAATATCTTGGTTATATATAGTGGCATTTAATCTCTGGAAACAATTACCAGTTTGAAGCTGCTGTGATTGAAGAGGAAAAAATAATTTGGCTGGATATCTCTTGCTACACCTCAATTAGTTTTGTCAAAAATCACAGGAATTGGGTATCAGCTCAATCATATAGAGTTGCAAAAGCTTTGCAAAACAACACCAAATAGTTTCCATAGCATTCTCATTTTAAAGTGAAAATAATTAGCAGTTAGTCCCACAGTGTTCTTAATTTTTTACAATCATAAAAGTTATAGAGATATTCACCTGTTTGGAATTGACAGGAAGATTTCGTTGGGCTAATAATTGGGCTATAATTAAGTAACACTTAAGAAACACTTCTGTTGGATGTTTCTCTGGCAGACACTCAAAAAAGCTACAGAAAAGTTATTTTACTGAATGAAAGTAAAGAGGATCTTTTAAATAAACCCCAAATTTTTTTGTCAGAATACTTTAAAATAGTGATGCTTCAGAAAAAAAGTCCAAAACCTGAAACTGATTGTGATGCCCATTCTGTCATACCGTATGAGGTTTCCATGTTTCAAAGAGCTGTTAGCTATATTATTAGCTAAATTTTCTGCACTATGTTATCCATCTTGGCTATACAGTTGTTGTTTGACATTTCATAATATAGTTAATTTAGTACTAAGTTTATGGAAGATTATACAGAAGCTAAAATTTCTATTGCTTAGCAGCACAAGACCATTTGAGAAAAAATAATTATATTTTTACCTAAAAGATCTTGTGTTTTCCTTTCCCTTTAGATTCTCACAACTAGAGAATACTATTGTAGTGTAGTATGGAGGCTTGTATCAACTGGTCCAGTCTTCAAGTGGATTTTGTTAAACAGACTTATGCAACTTGAATTTCCATACATGTGTTTTTAAGTGCTGCTTTGCAATGCTGTTATGTTTTCAAGCATATCAATAACATCTCTAACTGGGTGCTATTTCTTTATTTTAAATTCTGTCATGAATTAGGACATGATTTATAAGGGACTCTTTGTAGAGATTTAAATGCTTTGTTGATGAGTTGAAAGGAATATATATTCTTCTCTTATGTTACAATTCATAAAAATAAGCTATTTTTATATTCAGTATCTTATATTGTCACAAACATCTTCCTGGAAGCACAAGAATTACTTCTGCACCCCAGCAAGGACACGAACATATAATAACTCAGACACTCCCACACAGCTCCAGGCTTTGACACCTCATGGTTACTGCAAAAAGTTAACTCTGCCCATGCCAAAACCAGGACAGCTCAGTAAAATCTGAGGAAATGACAGTCTTGAATTTATGAGGTATGTGACAGTTTTCCTCACTGTTTTTATTTTAGCAATTGTGAGTTTAGATGCCTGGAATTCATCTAACAAAAAAACATCAGTAGTTGCCTAGGTATGTGGTTAAAGAGATAATCTGTAGCAGGTATAAGATGTGGTGGGGGTTCATAGGAGAAATGTCATATGACTGTAGCCATTGTACAGGTAAGAGTACTTATAGTTCTGTAGAAGAAATTTTCAAAGCTCCATGGAATAAGTATATTTGTAATTTGTTTGAAGAAATTCCCAAAACTTAGTGGAATTCTTACAGGTCCCAGTAAAGAGAAAGGAACATATATTTTCCCCAGTACATTATTAGAGCTTGGTGAGATGTGTCACAAAACATAAACAGTAGTCCAGTAAACATCAGTAAGAGGACTTCACCAACAGCTGCTTTCAGAATTTAAACCTTGTGGTTTGGCCAAGCACAATTGCTTTGAAAGAAAGTGATAGTTCATGCTGTACTGGTTGATAATGTGTATAACAATGTACTTCAGTGCGCCAGAGAAAATAAAGGGTTGTGGGAAAATGAATATAAGGACTATCGACGAGTCTGGTTTTAGTGCATGACGTGGATATGGTAACAGATAACACTTTGTTTGCCTCTTAGGACCGTATTTGCAGGAAGGTATTAATATCAATAGAGTCTAATAAGACCTCAGCTACTCTGATCTAGATATTTGTATTCAAGAAAGATCAACTTAACTGAAGAGAGAAAGAGGGAAGAAGGAGTATTAGAAACATACAGAGAGTGGAGAGCTTGTTTGCGAGATGATTCTAATAAGGACACACCCTTTTAGTGCAGGGATCAAAGGCTAGGAAGACAGGGTTCTATAATCAGAGTGTAAAATAGAAAGAAGAAAGTTTAAGCAAGGGAGGTGGTTCTTAGACAGTCCTAATGGGGCCAGTGGGAAAAAATCTTTCGCCAGGTTGGTAAATAATTTTGGGAAAATTCTCTATAATTTTATGGAAGTAGTTTATATTAAATATTGGCAAAGGTAGAGACTAGGCACCATCTTCTGACTGTTCTTTCAAACAGCGTGTATTAGGAGCTGAAACAAGAATGCATAACTCTTTTTTAGGAGAGTTATTATTGACTCTGATGTGCATAGAATACAGTGGATGTTGCTTTGGTGAATTTCTTGGAAATGTTAAATACCTGTTGTAGCATTTTATATGTTGTAGAATTTTATATTTGACTGCATAGTCTCTGGGTTTGCACAGAATGGGCTATATCAATGGTTCCAAGCGAAACTGCCATAATTATGTATTTAAGTCTGGCTTTTAGTGAATTATTCTTGATTGATTTTTTGAATAGTTAAACTATATGAAAAATTAGTATATTATTACATGATGTACACATACACACACATACAGGCACACACAGGCACCCACCCACACACACACATATGTATATATAACATAGTGGAGATTTATGCCTGCTGGCATTTAGTCTAGCAGTGATCCTTACCTCCATTTTATTAAGATCTATTTTTTTTTGTGCAAAGGTTCCATAGTTGCTCTGAAAGCTAATTTGCTATCCTTTTGTTTTGTAATGAGGAAGCTCAAGTAGGCAAAAATACCGGCTTTAATTAATTGAAAATGTCTTCTAAATGTAGAGTATACTACTAAAATGTAGCATTTTGACTTAGCAGTATCAAAATGTTTGACTGAGTTTGAGAAATTAAAAATGGAATTGTTTCAATAATTCAGATGTTTAAAATGAAATGTTTCAAGATTTCTGTTTAAAACATTCAAAATTTCTGACTTTGTAAAAAATGCGGAAAATTGAGCTAATTGACTTAAGTGAAAACAAAATTGAAATGTGGGAAAACAACTGGTGTTTGTATAGGTTATTTTTCAAGTAAGTAATAATATATATTTCTTCCTCTCCCCAACTCCGCTTTTATAATAATCCTTTCTTTCTATACAAATAAATTTATGTGTATATTTTGGTCATAATTAATCTTTTTGGGCATACTTAAACTTTAAAAATTTTCTATAGTTTTCCATATTATACTCCAGACAAAAAAAACCCAAAACTCTGGACAACATTCTTAACAAAAGGCAGCATTTTATTTTCTTTTATATCTTTGAGTCTATGAGAGAGTAACAGTGACAATAAAACCAAATTGAACTAGCAGTTAAAAACCCTAGGTCCTCCATCATGTTGTATCTTTTCGCATCACATTTGGATGTTCTTTTGGGGAAACTTTGCCTCAGTGTAGATTAAAAAATGTCAGTGGTGCACCAATCGTATGCAGTAAATTGTGGTACACCATTTTATGTCTAATGATACTGAAAACAAAGAAGTTCCTAGTGTTCATATATTAACTGTTAACCTTTTCATGTGGATTTCTGAGACAATTGTGTGGGATCACATTGCCTTTTCCCTGACTCTAAACTGTAGTAACATTTTAAGCTATTTTTGGTCAAATTTGCCTAGGGCAGAGATTATCCCTCTACACTCAGCACTGGCCCTATGTTCAAGAGCCTCAGTTCTGGGCACCTCATTTTAAACAGGTCATTGAGGTGCTGGAGAGTGTCCAGAGAAGGGCAACAAGGCTCCTGAAAGCCTAGAAAATGTGTTTTGTAAGGAATGGCTGAGGGATCTAGGTTTGTTCAGTCTGCAGGGAGGAGGCTCAGGGGGGATCTCATTGCTCTCCACAACTCCCTGAAAGGAGGCTGTAGTGAGGTGGGGGCCAATCTCCTGTACTGTGCCAGTGAGAGGACCAGAGGAAATGGCCTTAAGATGAGACAGGGGAGATTCAGATTAGTTATTATAGGAATATAATAAAA